TTCAAAAAGTTTCAGGGCCCAAAATTAACCATTTCGCGAGAACTGCTCATGTGGTCCAAGGTTTAATAGTAAATAGCCTGCCCATCCCCGGCCAGACCACTGAAAAGGCGTGCCTGATCGCCTTGTCACCCACGTTGCAATTTGCCAGGGCCGAGCGAGCGCCTGCCAGGGCACAGCGTAGGCCAGCCCGCTCAACAGGCGTGTCTGCGGGGCTGCCTACCCACTATTACCCAGGCGCTCGCGGGACCGAAAAAGGCGCCGGGAGTGTTATGGGAGCCTCGGAAGCGCTTTAGACAGCGAAAATACCCCTTTTCTGCCGTTTGATGAGTATGGCCGGACTGGGCCGCGTGCTGGCCAAGCAATGGCGGGGTGTTGTCCGAGGCCGGGTTTGGCCGGAGTTGACCGGGCCCAGGCCGGGTGTTGGCCGGACTTGGGGCCCGGGGGTTGGCCGGACTTGGCCGGGTGTTGGCCCGGGGCCCGGGTCGGGCCTGGGCCGGGTGTTGGCCGGGTGATGGCCCCCTGGCCGGACTTGGCCTTCGTCTAGGGAAGACCACACACTGCAAAATAATCAGTGTCTCATACGGAGCATGCTACGGCGTTCCGTATGCCCCCCGGAATGGTGATACGGACATGCGTATCACCCCCATGCGGACCCCCAAACAGAAATGATCCATGTTTGGTACCTCGATCCATGTTCGGCACTTTACCCTACAAGGTAGGTTTACGCCAGACCGCGTCTTGTCGTAACAGGCTTCGCGATGTCTCGCTGCCTGTTCCTACAATCCGCGCCTGGCGTACCTACCTTGGCCTGCGGCGCTAGCCTGCCTTCGGCAGGCAAAGGCTTTTCCATCGTCGGTTACTTCTAACTTGATGCATACTGGGGCCCCCGCCCCCCAGACCCCCCTTCTTCAAGACAGAAGTGATCTGCCTGCAGAAAACTCGATGTTTCGCCGTTTTTTAGGTGTTTTTCGGCTATAAAAACTAAACCCGGTAGAGCTAGGATGGTGAAATTTCGCGTGTGCTGAGCCAAGGACATCCCCAATAAGTGTGCAAAATCTCACTGAGATCGGCCGAGCCGTTCAGGAGGAGTAGTGCGGACACACACACACACACACACACCACAGACGGACAGACAGACAGGAAAACTTTTCAACCCCAATGGAGTAACAGGCTTCGCTATCGCTCAGCCAACAAGGCCAGACAAACTATTTCTCGGGAGCAAGAAAAAATTAACTCATTGGGAGTTTTATTAGTGGTAGTTGTTGGGAGTATTCCTATAGGTCAACAACAAAAAACTAGACACATGTTGATCTACAACACTGTTGAACAATTGAACATTATTAGAGGTAGAATCAGGAACATCATTAAACAACTTTTTAACAGCCTTCTTGGCAATTTGTACCGCACGTTCAGCCTGACCATTGCTAGAAGGACTATAGGGCGGTGAATGAATCGGTACAATATCGCACTTAGTGAGAAAGGCTAAAAATCTTCAGCACAGACTGGGGGTCCATTGTCTGCCATCAACTTCGCAGGGTAACCGACAACAGGGAAAATTGACATCTGTGCTTTAACCACAGATACTCAATCAGTGTTATCCATACGTTGAACAGACAACCACTTTAAAAAGGAATCAGCAAAAATAAACAGCTTGACTTTGGTCAGCTCAAAGAAATCTACATGTACCCTTTCAAAGGGGTGTTTGGCTTCTGGCCAAGGAACAAAATCTTTTTTTCTCCTTGATGTTAACCAGAGCACACGAATTACACTGTCCACAATAAATCTCAACGTCCTCAGACATACCTGGCCACTCAGCATACATGCGAGCTAACGCTTTTATCCGGACAATGCCAGGATCAGATTTTCTGAGAGAGGGTAGAACACAAATTATATTACCTAACTTTAAACATTCTGCAAAATAGTCAGATCATTCCGCTACGCACATTTAATACTGACGGATAGCAACATCATCAGGTTTAGGACCAGACCAACCAGAGTGGATAAAGGTCATGACTTAAGTCATGGTAGGATCCTTCAGAGTTCCAGAGGATACCACCGCTACATTGATAGGAAACTCCTGACATAAACCCAAATAGTTAACTTCAGGTACAAACCAAGTACACTTCTTGAGGTTTAAACGAATATTATGCTCATTAAATTCATGTAAGACGAGTTTGGTATTATTAACACACTCATCCAAAGTACTCCCTTTGACTAGGATATCATCAATAAAACTGTGAACATTAGTTAAATTACGAAGAATATCATCCATGGTACTCTGAAAAATTGCGGGCGCACTAGCTATCCCGTAAATAAGTCTGGTAAACACAAACAAACCCTTTTGAGTATTAATAGTAATATACTTCCCTGACTCGAGATCCAACTCTAATTGAAGATAAGCATCGGACAGATCCAAAACAGTGAACAATTTGGCACCAGCCAAATGGGCTAAAATATCTTCAATATAGCTGCTTATTTATAGTTTTCTTAAAGTCTACGCACATTCTTTTATTATTATCCTTCTTAGGAACTAAGACAACAGGGGCAGCATAATCAGAAAAAGACACTTTCTTAATTTAACCTCTACTTAGCAATCCTTTTAACTTCTCATTTAGAACATCAACTAACGCATACGGGACAGGATATGGGTCATTCCACGTAAAGTCGACAAGGCCTCTGCCACCATGGTCACCGAATTGATTCTTCTTTTCGGGGTTTGTTACCCCCATGGTACTAGTTCATGACCGGTACAAAGTTTTTCGAATGTAGCCCCAGGGGCTGAGATATAGCAAAAAACTTTTTTCTCAAATTGCTGCACCAGTGCAACTTTGAAGGTTGATAGCGTCGCTAATATGCATCGTAGACCAAATCCGAGACCAGATTTCGAAAGGGAAAGAAAAATCGAATCTACCAGTGATAAAATTTTTTTGTTTTGAAAAGATTTTTTTACTTTCAAACTTTTACGAAGTTTTAAAATTTGCACAGTTTCCAAGTACCTTAACCAAATTTGGCTCCCGTTGGCTTGAAACTTAGCTTAGACCCTCCTCTAATCGAAACAGTCAACCACAAAATACGTTTTGCGCCGTTCTCGAGAACGAACCATTTCCGTGGAGCTCTGCAACACTCCACTTCACTGTAAAACGGTATTTTAGCCCACCCAGTTTGGGCTGGGCACCCTGGGCGCCCTTCCCGATCGAACCCTGGCTCCGGACCCAGTTCCAGGGTGTCTAGCGCCCCTTCCAGAAAGGCAGCCCATCGTGCCGTGCCGCGCCGCTCCAAGCGAACCGACACACATTTCCCCCGTCTGATAGAAACCTGAACTTTGGTGTGTCCCGAGCCAGGGACAGATCAAATGACCTTTCAAAATCTTATCAAGATCAGCCGAGCCGTTCGTTCAGGAGGAGAAGTGACACTCGCAGACAGACATAAAAAACTTTGCAACCCCACTGGAGGAACAGGCTTCGCTATCGCTCAGCCAATCATCCTGGTGGTTCACGATTGGTGATACAACTTACGGTGGGTCGACCAATTTCCTTTCAATGTGTGAGAGGATCATGTGAGGAAAGTCACATCAAAATCGAAGATGAGTTATTTTGGAAACATCGATTTTTCGGAAAAAAATAAGTTAAATGGAGAAAGTGACATCAAAACTTCCCCCAATCGTCTCGAAACTATTTCCATCGTGTTCCCCATCCGTTTTTACGTTAAAAACCATTGTCGGATCATACCTCAACTTTCAGTAAGTGCGGAGAAATATAAAGAAAATATCATGATTCTGATCGACCAAAGTGAAAACTTCGCTATGTTATCACAGCCAAACGGGGTGAAATATCGCAAAACCGTCTGACATGGGATCTTTTCATAATCACCCCTACACTGTTAAAAATTGTTGTTTTAAAACAACTACACAATTACCAACCTCGACAACGCTGTTGTTTGTGAACAAGTTTGCTTGTTTTAAAACGACGAATTCGTTGCTAATTATTTTTATGACTTATGCTGTTTCAAAACAATATTTTGCTGCGTACAAACAACCCGGACAATCTAAGAAGTGGTTACTGCGGGGTAACCGGGACTCTACTAGGTCTGTGACCTAATCGGCAATAAAAATTGATGCAAATAAGGCTGCCTACCGGTTTACAAACATCTTGTGGACGAACGACGCAACTCGTTAGTAAACAACGAAAGTCATTTGAAAACAACTTTGATCGCTAAGAAAATTAGCAACATATTTACTGCTAAATTACAACGTAATTTTTAACAGTGTACCCCTAAAAAAAGTTGCATCCAAATCGAAGAGATGAATTTCCAAGAGTTCGTTGGGCTGCACCCACACTGCAAACCTAATTCGCCACGCTACACAACTAAGATAGGTTACGTTGACACATTAAATGACATGTTGCCTTGGCACACTCTCATTCCAGGAACGTGACATCACGTTGAAACGAACGTGACAAAGTGTCACGTTCGTTTGAGCATTGTGTCACGTTCGTTTGCATGTGAACAAGCTTTTTTTTTGGCCAATTCACATCCTAACGAATGTGACACAACGCTCAAACGAACGTGACACTTTGTCACGTTCGTTTCAACGTGATGTCACGTTCCTGGAATGAGAGTGCATTTGGTTGCCGTGAGCCGATTCACAAGATTTGGCAATAATTGGTCTGCGTCGAATGCTTCAATCAACCTGCCCTACTCTGCTGAAGTGGAGAAAAGTATAAGGATTTCTCTCGTTGACTTCAAACAATTTAATTAGGATCTTTCTCATGCAGCACAGATAAGATTCTTCTTCTGGTAGGGTCAAATTTTTTCTTCCGCCTGAAAAATGATGAAATTCCAGTTATCTTCTCCTTCCGCTTCATGGATCAGTTAGTGCCTACAATGCAGACGTCGAGCAGTGCTCCGTTCTGGTCCTCGACTAAATTGTGGACTTAGGTCCACCACGCGCGGCGGCATCACCGCTATCTCGTCTCGCCGCGATAAGTGTGTAGGTGGGCCAGGTTGTTGGCCGGCACAGAATTGACGATGCTGCCCCGGCGCGTGGAGGTGCTCGCGGCCCTGGCCTGGGCATTCTGGGCAGCGTTGGCACACTGCGAGGCGTCGGGCGGCGTCGTGAAGCTCCCCGATGACTTCATCGTGGGGTCGGGGACCTCCTCGTACCAGGCCGAGGGCGCGTGGAACGTCAGCGGTAAGTGGTGCACCCGCAATGCAATGAGTTGAAAAATGATTTCCTTCGCAGGCTACGAAGTCGCCGTTTATACTTTGTTGCCACGACGAACGTTCTTAGTAGGAATTTATCAGTGTAAGAAGCGCTGTGCCTCTAAATATCAAAAGTGGTTACCCCTCGGCGATATGAAGTCGCCGTTTATACTTTGTTGCCACGACGAACGTTCTTAGTAGGAATTTATCAGTGTAAGAAGCGCTGTGCCTCCAAATATCAAAAGTGGTTACCCCTCGGAGACCACGTGAGAAATTATACGAATGCACACTGAGATTCCAAACTTCCAAACGCTATGAGTATAGCACGTATTGTGCAATGCACCGAGATATCGCACCATGCGTGCAATGCCTCAGCCGCATTGCACCTTACGTGCAAGTGCAAATGCATCCCGAAAATGCCGTATGCCAATGCATGGGAATGGAATCCAAAAGCATTGTCCCAATTGCCGCTTTGTTATTGGATTCTCATCATGAGAAATAATTAAACTGTAGGTTTACTTAAAAAAATGTCCGCGGAGTGTCGGAGAGTGCAGTGCATTTAGTGTGGACTTGTTTTTTCGGATCGACAGGGAAGGGCGAAAGCCTCTTCGACCGCATTCTGCATTCCAGTGCCTTGACGGGAGTGCCCAACGCTGATGTGGGCGCAGACTCTTACCACCGAAGCAAAGACGACGTGGCTGCTGCTCGCGAACTGAAGGTAAGTTATGTGATGAGGGGCCAAGTAAGTCTTCCACACACATTCCAGATTGTCGCGCTCACTTTCGTACATTACGTTTTCGGTTTTGGAACATGTCTTACACGACGTTCGTACGAAAAACCGCGCAGTTTGGAGTACTCTAGTTTTGAGTAAAATCGGGTACTAATTTTTGCGAGAAGTTGCATCTGCGCCAAAAACTGTGGCATCTCGGAAAAAGTTTGTACCAACAAATTAAATGTGTACTGACTGAAATAATGTGCAAGTGAGTGAAGTGAGATTGTCAGTGCACCGAGTCGCGCCACTTGGCCCTTTAAGGGGTCATTGTCTTAAGATCTTAGGATCGTTTCCGGATAAAAGATCTTATCTCACCCGGTTGTTTCAATGTGAAGGACTTTGTATTGAATGCTACACAGTTAAAAGAGGGTTCGACTTTCGAACCCACATAGGCTCGCAAAACGGCCTTAAGTAGGATCGAACCCATCTTGGTTCGGATATCGGACTCCGTGGCGACAAGATGGGTTCGATTTTCGGCTTTGCAGGGTTCGAGTCGAGTGAATTTTCAAAATTAAACAAATTGACATTTTCAAACAGATTTTGATTGGTCTCGAGAAGACGAACAAAAAAATGTCAACACGTGTCATGGGTTAAAATGGAGAATAAAAGAGCTATTAGATTTTTAGATTGTTAAAATGGTTAAGCCGTTAAGATTTTCTGATTGACCAGTGAAACCAAAACAATGGTGATGATCAAGTCTTTACCTTGGCCCAACATTAGACTCAATGTTGCTTTGTTTCCAACAGCTGCGAATGTATCGCTTCTCCCTGTCTTGGCCACGCCTCCTTCCCAATGGCTGGACCAGTAACGTCAACCAGGACGGACTGCGCTACTACAACCAACTTATAGACGATCTGCAGGACAGCGGTATACAACCGATGGTAAGTACAGTGGGAATTTAGACCCGAGGAAGGCACACTGCCAGACCAGGCGATAGCACCTGAAAGCCTGTTGTATTTGTGGTTATCTCCGAGTGTATCGAAGAAAATTAAGGCCATCGCTTGTTTGAGCCGAAATACAGGACATTTCTAAAGAGTGATCCGTGTTTGGTAACCTTACCCTATTTTACCCCATTCCGCTTCTGCCGTCTGTCAGTCTGCAGGTAATTTTCTTTGTTCCAGGTAACCCTCTTCCACTGGGACGCCCCGCAGGCTTTGCAGGATGAGTTCGACGGCTGGAACGATGACAAAATGGTCGACGCCTTTGTGGCCTATGCAGACTTTGCATTCACCCATTTTGGTGACAGGGTATGTTGACACTGGCCGCACGCACACGTTGCCAGCGGAAAATAGTCCCACATTAGCGCAACTAAAATGGAGAAGCGAGTGCAGTCTCTCGATGGCTTCATAAGCAAGTGTAAACCGTCATAATTACAGAAAATCCTCTTCCTCAAGGGATATAAACTACAGGTTTATGCTTGTTCCCATAAATGGTAACAAAACCGAAAAAGAACGGACTCTTTACGTTGATATATTTAGCTTTGTGACTATAATAGAATTCATACGCTTTCAGCACGTTACTGACTTTTTTCTCAATTATTACTTTTTTGTATAGGCAAAAATAACATGAAGTATTTTCTAAGTAAGTATGACTAATTTCTTTTGTAAAATTGTGTACAAAACTAAACTGTCAGTACATTAATATTACCTAAGTAGTTCTTTTAGAAAGGAGAAGTACGTGTTATGGTTGCACAAATCACCTGCATAAGAACTGACAGAATGAACCAAAAGTTAGTAACGTGCTGAGAGTGTAAGCTCGCACAAATTTTCATATACATCTTTACAAATCTTGTTTTTACCTGGGTCAGTTTTTGGTGCATATTCGTGCGGTTTGGTTTCGAAAACACAGTTTCACCTCCTCTATTACCAGTGCGCGTAGCAGAACACCTTGGCATCTGAATCAACTTTAAAATGTTGCTCCAAGAGTCCGCGGGTCAAAATGAAAATTTCGTCAAGTCGTTTCCATTTTTCTTACCTCAGGCGCGTTTGAGCTCCAGAGCTTGCTGTACAAGACCAGAACCGAGCGTGTCACCCCACTAATGGATTCCTCGTCCGGAGTGCAATCCTTTTGTTGGGTCACGCGTTAGGTTGCAGTCCCATTGGGCGAATGTAGGTCAACTTGAACGGCGTTTGACCCCGACCCCCTCAGAACTTGCTCCAAACAGTCTTAAATCATTGGTCTTTACCTAAAATCACCCCAAAAAAAATTTGGTTGAAAAATATTAACATTTGGCTGAGCTGTGGCACTTTTTGTTTTTTGGTCAATTTTAGTGAAATTAGTACAATGATAATTTGAAAAAACAATTTTTTCTCGAAATGGGGATTTTTGAGGCCTGATTTGTTTGACATGAGTTGTCTTATGATAGACCAATGCAATACCGGTCATAGACCCCACCTCACTCAATTTGCACTGAAGGCTGAAGAATTTCTAGTAATTTTACCTAAAAATCAAAACATTAAACCTTGCCCCACCTTTCAAAATTCATTTCTATGCATGAAAATCTACCTTAGGGCCCTGGCAACAACATATAAAAAATCTGGGATGGAGTTTTTCATATTAAGGAAATCGTTCCAGAAAGCGCTACTTTTGACTTGTCGATTTAGCTAAAACGCATGAAATTTCACCAAATATAAAGTACGATGAGGTCAATCTTGCTATTTTAGCCTCTTTGGGCAGTATCAGAGGCCAATGGAGTTTGAGGGGAGTAAAAAAGAACATATATACAATTTGCACGTGTACTACGAACACCAACTTCTGACAGCTTTTGAATAGGAAGCCCAAGAAAATATAATCCGTAATAATCAAGTGGATCTTGGGGAGTTGTTAATCGATTTTTACCATTTACTTCTGCTGTCTGTCTCACTTTAGTCCACTTCTGTCCTGTCGTTGTGTCTGGAGAGAATGCCAATTCTTATTGTTGAGCCTCCAAATCAGTTTGGTGATGGAACCCAAACAGCTAACTCAACTCGAGACGGAACCAACCATGTAGAGTAACTCCAGCCCATGGTGGAACGAAATCCGGGCTTGGGTCACGGAATCGGTTCAAGCTTTGTTGGTTCAATTGATACCAGTAGGACATATCAACCCCAGGTGCAAAGTTGGCTAGCTCCAAAACACGGTGAAGGGAGATACGGTGGGGACACTAGGCGCTGCGGAGTGAAGCCCGTTTCTGGACGTTCCGTAGTTCCAAACGCTCCGCCAGGATGCGCTGTTCCCCATGTGGGCCGAGGTGGTGGGGGAAGAGGGCCGGCTCACTATTGGCTGGCGGCTGGCTACCGCGCACCGCCGCTCACCGCCTCCAGCGGCCAGCCAATAGTGAGCCGGCCCACTTCCCCCTCCACCTCGGCCCACTTGGAGAACAGCGCTACTAGCGGAGCGTTCGGAACGACGAAACGGGCCAAAAACGAGCTTCACTCGGCCGCGTGGCGGAGGGCCCGAGTGTCCCCACCGTATCTCCCTACACCGTGCTCCAAAAACACTTGAGATGTCTACATTTTTCTAAATTTAACAGAGTTAGCGGAAAAATGTTGCTTTCTGATTTTTTATAACAAAGTTGTTTTTTTTTCAGTTCTAGCTTGTGTTTCCTTTTCCTGCCTACCCTTCATTTAGATAAAATCATGACTAGCCAGAACTGTAGAAACAACTCTAACTATCTAATAATCAGAAAGCGTCATTTTCCCGCTAAATTAGTCAAATACAGCAAAATGTAGATATCTCAAGTATTCTTTGAGCTAGCCAACTATGCACCTGGGGTTGATGTGTCATACTGGTACCTATTGAACCAACAAAGCTTGAACCGATTCCGTGACCCAAGCCCGGATTTCGTTCCACCATGGGCTGGAGTTACTCTATATGCTTGGTTCCGTCTCGAGTTGAGTTGGCTGTTTGGGTTCCATCACCAAACTGATTTGGAGGCTCAACAATAAGAATTGACATTCTCTCCAGACACAAACGACAGGACAGAAGTGGACTAAAATGAGACAGACAGCAGAAGTAAATGGTAAAAATCGATTAACAACTCCCCCTGATCCACTTGATTATTACGGATTATATTTTCTTGGGCACGGTGTAGGGAGATACGGTGGGGACACTCGGGCCCTCCGCCACGCGGCCGAGTGAAGCTCGTTTTTGGCCCGTTTCGTCGTTCCGAACGCTCCGCTAGTAGCGCTGTTCTCCAAGTGGGCCGAGGTGGAGGGGGAAGTGGGCCGGCTCACTATTGGCTGGCCGCTGGAGGCGGTGAGCGGCGGTGCGCGGTAGCCAGCCGCCAGCCAATAGTGAGCCGGCCCTCTTCCCCCACCACCTCGGCCCACGTGGGGAACAGCGCATCCTGGCGGAGCGTTTGGAACTACGGAACGTCCAGAAACGGGCTTCACTCCGCAGCGCCTAGTGTCCCCACCGTATCTCCCTTCACCGTGTTCTTGGGCTTCCTGTTCAAAAGCTGTCAGAAGTTGGTGTTCGTAGTACACGTGCAAATTGTATATATGTTCTTTTTTACTCCCCTCAAACTCCATTGGCCTCTGATACTGCCCAAAGAGGCTAAAATAGCAAGATTGACCTCATCGTACTTTATATTTGGTGAAATTTCATGCGTTTTAGCTAAATCGACTAGTCAAAAGTAGCGCTTTCTGGAACGATTTCCTTAAAATGAAAAACTCCATCCCAGATTTTTTATATGTTGTTGCCAGGGCCCTAAGGTAGATTTTCATGCATAGAAATGAATTTTGAAAGGTGGGGCAAGGTTTAATATTTCGATTTTTAGGTAAAATTACTAGAAATTCTTCAGCCTTCAGTGCAAATTGAGTGAGTAGGGGTCTTTGACCGGTATTGCATTGGTCTACCATAAGACAACTCATGTCAAACAAATCAGGCCTCAAAAATCCCCATTTCGAGAAAAAATTGTTTTTTCAAATTTTCATTGTCCTAATTTCACTAAAATTGACCAAAAAACAAAAAGTGCCACAGCTCAGCCAAATGTTAATATTTTTCAACCAATTTTTTTTTCGGGTGGTTTTAGGTATAGACCAATGATTTAAGACTGTTTGGAGCAAGTTCTGAGGGGGTCGGGGTCAAACCCCGTTCAAATTGACCTGGATTCACCCATTAGGCGACTTGTGAGCTCAAAACACATCCGGGATCTTGACCGCCTCCATCGGTCTTCTAGCCCACTGTGTCACGGTTGGTATTCTCGACCTGAAGGTGCGGTACTGGACCACGCACAACGAGCCCTACCTGTTCTGCAACTTCCTCCCCAACATTGCCGCCTTCCTCGCCGGCACGGAGATACCGGACACCGCGCCCACACCGGCACCCGGTCAGGAGGCGAACGACTACAAATGTCTGCAGAGAATAGTGCTGTCGCACGCCCGCGCCTACCGGCTGTACCAGGAGAAGTACGCGGCAAAGCAACATGGTAGGTGCCGCAAACACTGGCGCTCAGAAATAATTACAAAAGTACAAATGAAAAATTACGTTATAAGTGCCAGGTATTACCACCTCTTAGAAATGTTTTTATGTTGGGCATCCCATGCACTCTAAATGTCTTACGAAGAAATTTCCCATATTACGAAGGAAAGGCGCAAGCATAATACGAATGTGGTTTTTCTTCGTATTACGAAGGTTTTTCTTTGTATATCTTACAGTGAAAAAGCTAAAAAGATTCGTACTACGAAGGAATATTGCTTCGTATCATGCTTGCGCCGAATTCACTGCAGCATACGAATAACATGGGTCAAATTTCATTGTTAGACATTTAGAGTGTGGTTCTTCACTTCACGGTAAAAACGGTAGCCTATAGGTAACCTATACTGAAAACATAGGCGACGGCGATTTCCAGAGACTTCTCCTGGAGAACTGGGGACCATTTTCGCCTTGTACCTGGGAATGAACCGATGTTAGTGGGAATCCCACGAGAAGTGAATCACCTCACCGCAAACTTAAGTGTGTACATGGTACATTCTTATTTAAAGCATCCTTCCAAGCAGGCCACGAATTTGTGTACTTTTGCTGTGGCTTTTTCTTGCAATACGGTGGGTAAAAGTCGTCAATTTGCGATGAGGTTGTCATCATTTTAAAGTGATGAAAGTATCGTCCCCGATTTTTCATAAAGAGACAACTTTTCAAAGTGCAATGGATTTCTCCTTCAGAGAGCAATCCACGTACTGATCGAATCCCATTTAGCGACTCCACCACGTCTGGAATTTCGGTCACCTCCACCGGTCTTATGGCCCACTGTGCACTGTGCCGTGGAAATGCACTGACATGTTACTGCGACACTGCAGGGCTCATCGGGCTGAGTAACTTCGCCTTCGCCCCGCGGCCGAACTCCTCGTCCTTCGCGGACGTGGCCGCGGTGCGGCGCTACAACCTGCTGACGCTGGGCACCACGTTCGGGCCGCTCGTCACGGGGGACTACCCCGTCGAGGTGCGCCGCATGGTGGACGAGGCCAGCGAGCGCGAGGGGCTTGGCAAGTCGCGGTTGCCCGAGTTCAGCGCCGACCAACGCGCCATGCTCAGAGGTTTGCGTCTCTAAAACCGTCGACTCCCCAAGACAAGCACTCATTTTAATTAATAATGTTTGAAAAAAAGTGCAGAAGCGCGAAAAAGTTTTGGTTATTTATGTCAGATTCAATGAAAGTACACACTAAATGTCAGTGCAATTTTGTGCGTGGTCTCAATTCCAAACGTGCGAGCTTTTTCGAACAAATTTGTACAAAAAGCACGTTTGCACAAAAATTTTTTGTCAAAACTTTTGAAAACTGTTTGCTCTCTAATACAAGCAAAACGTTTACAAATTACACATTTGAAAAAAGTTTTTATAAAATGTGCCAAAGCGCTGAAAAATGATCTTATCTGGGCGTTCCCCCCAAGAGAATCTTATCTTAAACACAGGCAAATTTCACTTTCTTTTTTATCATTTGGGATAAATAGAAGAGTAGGCGGAATGTCATTCTACATGCACTTTTGGTTTCTTTGAGCTTCCATCTTCAGATTTACGTGAACTGAAGCACAAATTTTATTGATATGTAGCTGTATCAAATGATCAAACGAACTGAAATTCGCCTGCGTTTAAGATAAGATTCTTGGGGGGAACGCCAATGAATAGGACCCTTCGAAATGGTTTTCGGTGATCAATGATGAGTTTAGTTTAAGTAGTATGAATTAAATTAGTGATGTGAAACCAGGACATACTCTAAAACTCATTCAGCATTACTTTGCTCATACACTACACATACGTTCGCACGCAGCATTTGCTGTATACATGGGCATTTATGTGGTATTTACCGAATTTACTTCGGTTGACGAACTAGCCAACACCAACTCGAGCTGTAGCCAACGGAATCACTGAACCATTGCCTGTGCTTTCCACCCCCCCCCCCCCCCCTTACCAACTAATCACTTCTGGGATTCTCCTTCGTGCAGGAACCATTGACTTTCTCGGCGTCAATAATTACTTTGGACAGACAATCGCGGCTGCGAAACGACCGGAGCGAGGAAGCGCTCTGACCGACGCGGCGGTGCGAGTGGTTGCCAACGACGTGTTTGGCTCTCATGCTGTCACTGCATTTTCTCAGGTACGGACTGTAACCAATACAGTGGGCAGCAGCCACAGAACTCCGTATTTCGGTTCACAATCCAACGAGCGAAAGTGGTTGCATTCACAGCCAGGCGGACCAATAGAAAGCGTGCGCTTTTGTTTCCAGATGACACCCTGGAGTTTGAAGGAGGCGGCGCTGTGGTGTTGGGCGGAGTACCGCGTCCCCATATTCGTGACGGAGAACGGTTTCATCACAGAGAACAGCGTCGTATCCCTTGACGACAACATCCGCGCTGTTTACCATAGTGTGAGTGAGACTAACCCTCAAGTGGTTTCGGCACCACTCCTGGTAGAAAGCAACTCCAGGTTGCTCATTTCTGATTTCTGCAAACTTTCAGTCTAACATAGCTGCAGAATTGATGTGCAGACTGTACATCCTCTAAAACCAAGTTGGCACCTGTTTGCGCGTTTTTGGACATTGCACCCAGGCACGCTATTTCTAGTAATCATGTCCTTTAATTGGCAGGCCTACATGCGGGAGCTAGTTCGAGGCATCGAAGAAGATGGCGTGCGTGTTCTCGGCTACTTGGCGTGGAGCCTCATAGATCTTTTCGAGTGGGTTCGTCAGTACAAGTACGTTTCCAGTCTTACGCCCGTGAAACATTAAAATTAGGCTAGTATCCTGAGAAGAAAATTCAAAGATTCGTATTATGAAGATAAAATGCTTCATATTGTGCTCTCGCTGAATTCACTGTGAAAACCTTAGTTCACATCTCACTAAGAGAAAGTACTGAGTACACTCATCGGCTTTCAGTGCATGCACACTGTTCGAAACAAATTGGTGGCTTGGTCTGCTTGGTGGCCGCTCGCTCTGGAAGCTCTTCCAAGCCTTTCTTCTCTTTGCAGATATTCGTACGGTTTGGTGCACGTGGACTACGCCGGCGGATCGCTGAACCGAACGCTCAAGAAGTCCTCGGCGTTCTTCAAGGAGGTTGGGGAGACGAGGACCATTCCCGAAGTGGCTGCCAGCTCGGCGCGTTTCTCGTCTTCGCTGCTGCCCGTCTTCGCCGGCCTCATTTTACTGAAATGCCTTTAACAGCACCATTTACATTCACCCGTCAAACTTTATCGCATCTGTTTCTGAATCGTTTCTCATTAAATCTAGTATTTATAAAACTTAAACCGATTGTTCAATTTAAGTTAACCGTTTAATAGAATGAGGAGTGAGTGATGAGGGGTCGGCGCCCGAAGTCGATGGGGAATCACAATTTCGTTAACTGAATACGTACAACTCTAGTGCCCTGAAAAACCAAACGTGGTCTAGGCCACACCAACTGATGGAGTCATCTAGGTGCCATTTTCGCTGCCGCCCTCGCCGAGGACGTGCCCGTGTCCAGAGCCATGCACGAGGTCGACGTGGACGTGCAGCAGCACATCTGGCGCTGCGTGCACGCCAAGAACCTGCCCGTCGACGCCCGGTCGACCTGGTTTGAAGCAGACCACGACGTGCTCCCCACCGCCATCCATCCGGCTGCAAGCCACCAAGCAGGCCGCGGCGCCGGACTGCTCCCGGTGCCAGGAACCGGAGGACGTCGAGCACCGCCTGGCGCGCTGCGGCGCCGAGCGGCAGGCCGCCTGGCTCCGGCTGCGGCAGCGGGTCCTGGAGCAGAGAAGCATCATGTGGCGGCCATTTTACCGAGCACTTCAAGTTTTTTTAAACCGTTTTTAGTAATGTTCAAACATCAAGATAGATTCACTGTGTAAAATGAAGTACCTGAGTTTTCCATATCTATTTTATTTATGTATCTATTATTTATTACCACGAATTTCATTGATGTTATTAAAAACAAGGTAGGTTTACGCCAGACCGCGTCTTGTCGTGACAGGCTTCGCGATGTCTCGCGGCCTGTTCCTTCAATCCGCGCCTGGCGTACCTACCTTGGCCTGCGGCGCTAGCCTGCCTTCGGCAGGCATTGGCTTCTCCGTCGTCGGTTACTTCTTACTTGTTGCATGCTGGGGGGCGGCCCCCAGACCCCCCTTCATTCCAGGTAGAGTTGTTTCATCTACAGATAACACGTTCTTGACCCTTGTAACTTTTTAACTTGTTGGGGCTAGGGGGCTCCGTCCCCCAGACCACCCTTTCTTCAAGGCAGAAGTGATCTGTCTGCAGAGAACTCGATTTTTCGCCGTTTTTTGGGTGTTTTTCGGCTATAAAAACTGAACCAGTTGAGCTAGGATAGTGAAATTTCGCGTGTGCCGAGCCAAGAACATACCTAATAAGCCTGCAAAATCTCAGCCAGATCGGCCGAGCTGTTCAGGAGGAGTAGTGTACACACACACACAGACAGACAGACAGAAAAAACTTTTCAACCGCACTGGAGTAACAGGCTTCGCTATCGCTCAGCCAAAAATGGGATCTAGGAAACGCTGTGTCCTGAGTTGCGTTGAGTCCCTGAATTGAAAAGGAAACGCTTGTCTGGTCTCTTCAAAGTAACTTTGATGTCTGTATTTTGTTTTATTGGCTGAGCAGTAGCGAAGCCTGTTCCTTTAGTTGGGTTGAAAAGTTTTTCCTGTCTGTCCGTGTGTGTGTCTGTGTGTCTGCACTACTCCGAAACGGCTCGGCCGATTCTGCTGAGATTTTGCAGGGTCATTAGGCATATCCTTGGCTCGCCACTCACCAAAATTCAGCTTTCCTATCTCAATCCCTGCGATTGAAACCATCAATAAACTCTTGAAACACGGTAGAAAAAAAAACTTTTTTGGTACTTCTAACTTTTTGTCAAATTTCATATGGTTTCCAATATTTGATCCAGGAAGCGGAAGAAGGGAATAACTTGACTTATCCCCAAATTGAGTTTTTATTTTATTATTGTGCCTTAGAATGGTTTACATCATTACACCTAATTATTTGACTGAATTCCAAGCAGTTTCGGAGAAAATCCACATGGAAAAAGGGTATAACTCAACTTAACCCCTTTTTCGGTCTAAATTTCATTGGAAAATGGAGATAACTCAACCTTAGTCTACATGGGTCCGTTTGACAAATTGGCAAAAGGATATAACTCAACTTGTGTTTTTATGAATCTAGTGTTAAAAGAATCAACTCAACTTAACCCCCCCTAAATTTTAAATTTCAATTTGGAAAAAAGAGCTAAGTCCAAAAAATACACCAGAGTAACATACACTTTATGCAGACTATTGTTCCACTTGACTTGTCTCCAAATTCCTCTTTGTTTAGGAAATATAAGGTGAGCTGACTCTGTTTTCCATTTCAACGGAAAGTGACAAGTCGCAGAAATCCTCTACGGAGTGACCTTACACTTTCGATTCTTTTTTCAAAACTTTACTAATGCTTTTTGAAATTATTAACATCTGCAACATTCATTTGTTTTGTTTTAGTTTTCCCTGCTAACAGTTTTTTGTTTCTCCTGAAAAATGGTCAAAATTGAGTTATCCCCTTCTTCCGCTTCCTGGATCATTTTTGAGGGCGCTGATGACGAAAATAGAGCCCATTCTGACCCACGACCCAAAGTTAAGTCCCATTAGCGTACATTTTGATCACCAAATGCTATTTTTAGTGGGGATCACGCTCATTTCTACGGTTCACCAAGGAAAGCAGCCTGCCGAAGGCAGGCTAGCGCCGCAGACCAAGGAAGGTGTATACGCCAGGCGTGGATTGTCGAAACTGTCGCAGCATCGCGAAGCCTGTTACGATAAGACACGGTCTTGCCTGTCTTATTATTGGCTGAGCGATAGCGAAGCCCTTGCCGTGTTTGGGGGCGCCGAAAGGCGGCTGGTCGTGCGTCTGTCCTCCGGGTGGTCGGGGGGAAAGGGCTGGGGGTGGGGGCTGGGGGGTCGTCATGAGGCTAACATTTTAGGTTTCACTGCGCCTAAACCGCTGGACCGATTGAGTTCAAATTTTGTGGGTAGTTACCTGTTAGGGAGGACTTCACTTTTCAGGTGTTAAATTTGACCCCCACCCCCTTGAACGCCCCCACCCCCTAAAAACGATGCTGACCATTTTTTGCTTCTGTACGAGCCACATGAGGTGCTGTGCGAAAATCAATCGTTTCGGTGGGTGGGGGCAGCCTCCAAGAACGACCCCTCCAAATTTCAGCCCGATACTACTAATAGTTTTCGTCTGAGAGGCTTAAATGTGATAGGACGTGGTGCCAGCATTTTGGCGTTTTGTCTGTCTGTCTGTGTGTCTGTAACTCACTCACGTTTCTCAGCAACTACCACCAATAGTCACCAAATTTCGCATCGAACATCTCCTAAACCTCCTACAGGGGGAGTTTATCTCAGTTTAACAATATGTATCGTTTGAAATATTCAAAACATCGTTTTGAACTATAGGTTATTCGCGTTGTTGAGTTGGTAACAACGAGTGGCTGACCAATTTCTCATACCTGCTGCCGCGCTTGCTAGCCGTCTGCAAGACGGGTCGGCACTTCTGTAAATAAAACAAACTGAAGAGCGAAGGGGCTCAAATAGGTTCTGAGTTAGTTTTTGGCCCGCCCTTCTATTCAAAAAATAGGGGGAGGGCCTATGCATTTGCCTTTGTGTCTGTGTGTTGTTGTTGTTGTTGTTGTTGTTGTTGTTGGCGTCTGTGTACAAGAAAGGAGTTGAGCTAGAGTAACCAGATTTGGAGGGTACTTCAGGAGTACCGTCGAAACAAATAATCCGGTGGTGCAAATCCCGTCCGGGTCGCACAAGGGCTGCTGCAGGTGCATCATGGTTTACATGAGCGGAAGGGGGATTTCCGCCATTATTGGTGCTAGCAGGGTACATATGGGTATTTTTGGAATCGGGGCGACGAGGCAAGATGAATGGACCTGGTCCCGACCTCATCGGCCGCTTTTACCAGTTGGCCAGATCAGGATCTTCTAAAAAGGGGGTCGACCGACTAAAAAAATTTATTGCAGATTTCGATTGGTCTCAGGGACATTCCACGTGAATCCAACGACGGTTTGGAATCGAGGTCCTCGGATTTCGACCTAAGTGGTATCAATCGATTCGGTATCGGCCCCTGACTCACCATGTAAATTTTTTTGAAAAATTTTTGAACGGTTTAGTTTTTGCACCAGTTTTATGGTTTTATAAGTTTAAAAATAGTAAAAACAAAAATTTTTTTTCAAAATTTTTTGTAGGTGTTCTTGAGGGTTTAGGAATGTGGGAAAAGCATTAAAAGTTGTTTGAGAACCATCTGGGAGGTTTTAAGGGTAGTGAAAATGGTGAATTTTGGTGAAAATTTGACAAATTTCACCGTTCTGAAAATACGTCATCATGGATTTTGGCCAAACTTTTTTTTTCTTTTCCTCTACTATTGGTGCATACTCCCTTAAGAGGGTTTGGATGGCCCGCCACAATTTTTTCTTCTGGAGCCTATAACATGTCTAATTGCGGCATATTTTTCCCTTTAATTGACTGTTTTTTTTGTCGTTTCTCTCGTACGCTTACTTGGTCGACCATGCAGATCACTCAAAGTGAGGATATCAGGGCCGATCAGGGCCCAACACAACTCCTGAAAGCTAGCTCTTCTATATGCAGACTTTTAGGGACCCATGCAACCATTATTATAGTTACTTTACACAAATTTATTTTATTTTGAGGACATTTTCACTCAGATCTCGACTCCTGAGACATGGAGTTTCGAAGTGGACTTTATGTAGTACAGCACATGTTTCAACTTGATTACTCTTTCCATTAAGAATTTCTGAATCTTGCCATCCTTAAATAGTGAGTTGTCACTAAACTTTTGTCCACTTCAAAACTCCATGTCTCAGGTTAGTCGAGATCTATGAGTGAAAATGTCCTCAAAATTAAATAAATTTGTTTAAAGTATCTATGATAATGATTGCATGGGTCCCTAAAAGTCTGCAATTAGAAGAGCTAGCTATCAGGAGTTGTGTTGGGCCCTGATATCCTTACTTTGAGTGATCTGCATGGTCGACCAAGTAAGCGCATGAGAGAGACGACAAAAAAACAGTCAATTAAAGGAAAAAATATGCCGCAATTAGACATGTTATAGGCTCCAGAAGAAAAAATTGTGGCGGGCCATCCAAACCCTCTTAAGGGAGTATGCACCAATAGTAGAGGAAAAGAAAAAAAAAGTTTCGCCAAAATCCATGATGACGTATTTTCAGAACGGTGAAATTTGTCAAATTTTCACCAAAATTCACCATTTTCACTACCCTTAAAACCTCCCAGATGGTTCTCAAACAACTTTTAATGCTTTTCCCACATTCCTAAACCCTCAAGAACACCTACAAAAAATTTTGAAAAAAAATTTTTGTTTTTACTATTTTTAGACTTATAAAACCATAAAACTGGTGCAAAAACTAAACCGTTCAAAATTTTTTCAAAAAAATTTACATGGTGAGTCAGGGGCCGATACCGAATCGATTGATACCACTTAGGTCGAAATCCGAGGACCTCGATTCCAAACCGTCGTTGGATTCACGTGGAATGTCCCCTCAGCAAGACCTTTTCAACGAGGGGTCCCTAAATACCAAATGTGCTTAAGCTCAAATAGATGAAAACAGAAGGAGACAAGAGTCAATCTTTGAGTACAACCAATTTAGTGTCTTGTTCCGTTGGAATAAGAGCCGATAAAGTGAGTGACTCTTTCACTCAAAATTAAACCAAAATTTTTTAAAATCTCATCAAAATAACTATCAGAGAAGCTTCTCCACTACATAAACTCTATTTAAAATCAATGGGGCACTCAGCAAGTTAATACAGACTGAGCAGCTGCTTGTGGCAAGATAACATTACCAAAACCGACTCACACACTATAAGGTTAAACTGCCCAACTCAACATAGGTCAGAAATAAATAATTTCAAGAGTGTCACTCCACTAAAACAAAACGAGAGGCTCATCCCTATCATAGTTAAGATAAAAAATTATCACTCATACTCAAAAGTAAGTTCCTACCAATAAAAGTGTCAAGAGACACTTATACATCCGACGTGATAAATCAAACAAAAAGTAAACATGGTTTTTGATTCTTCAGAATAAGTTTTATTCAGAACAAAAAAATTCACATTCAAAATGAAACAGCTTTCCATTACAAAAACAAACGTAACACATGTTACACATTAAAAAATAACCGATTCATAAAACAAAACATCACAATCACTGAAAAATGTGTTCCCACATTAAAAGAATATTCAATCAGTCAGAGAAAAAAGCCAAACCTAATTACTTGTAAAAACTTTTAAAAGTCACTCCCTCTTCTTTTTCTTCTCTTCTCCTTTCTTCATTTTTTCTTCTCTCTCCTTCATCTTATCCTTTAGCCTTTGAACTGCTTGTTTCATTCGCATATCTTCCTCCTCTCTCATTTTCTTCTGCTCTTCTCGCCTTTTCTTCGCTGCTTCTCTCCTTTTCTTCTTTTCTCGTTCCATTGCATCATCAAGTTCTTCAGGAGTCTGAAAAATTTTTAATCAAGACATTACTTCAATGAAAGAGAAAGCTACATTGAAAAAGTTGTCTTTTCACTCACCACATAAGTGCCCCTGAAAGACAGAGAGGGCTCCTTCTTTTTCTTCTTCTTCTCCTTTCCTTGAGTTTCAGGATCGTGAGAAGGAGGATCAATAAGACTGACCGGTTTAGGTCCTAATCGATCAAATACGGACTGAAAATATTGAATTAAGACATGACTCATAAAGTTGATTAACAGTACAATATCAAAGACTTTTTTAAAACTTACTTTTGGTTATCAACCAAGGAAGAAGCAATTGAGCGATCCAGAATCTCCCCATCCTCTACGGTAACAACTGACACTGGCGAAGGCAAAGGAGGAGGGGAGGGTACCCTGGGGTTTAATTGCACTTCCTTCAGGATACGATTCTCTTTAACCTTTAAAAAACAGAACAAAAAAATGTTAGATTCTCAATTAAATTTCAGTTTTAGGCCACTTGATTTTTTTTATGGACAAAACAAAACGGGACTTACAGGAAACACCACGGAAGAAGGAGCTGGGCGAGTGGGGATACGCGCACTAGGGTCTAGCTCCGGGGCGGGCAGCTGTTCAGGAGAAGGCAACACTTCAGGAGGCACTATAATACCCGCGGCCAGAGCCCCTATCATCTCTTCCTCCTCTTCAGGTGTAAGAATTGGAGATATGCCTCTCGGCCCGTGAGGAGGATCAGGGGCCCCAGCCCAAGGAGTAGAAGTCTGAAATCAGAGAACCATAGAACACATTAGAAAAAATACGATTTCAAGAAATCCTAGGAGTCACGAAGTCAATTTGGGTAGGAGTGTGGGGAAAGCAAAAAAGTTATGTAAAAGGTAGGGGGTGGCTCAAGGGTTGCTACGAATGGCAGTGGTACCAATGTGGTCGATGTGCCACCCGTCAAAATTTAACCTTGGCAATAAAGAGAAATCAAAATGCCGGGAAATTCGAAAAATTCCAATGCTAATGTATTCCACAGTGATCCGACAAAGGAACATCTTTGAAGTCCATCATTATGAAAATTTTGGTTGCAGAAAAAAGGCAATAAATTAATTTTCGCGGGTTGGCAACAATTTTGTCGGCGTCTGCGCCCTTGCGAAAATCGCGAAGCTGAAAACACGAGTATAGTCGCGCATTAAAACTGCCCCTCCATTGTTGCTGACGTTGGAATTGTTTGGCTTGTTTCAAAAGGCTACGGTTCTCTAGTCATGTTTTCTTTAATTCTGTGTAATAGTTCTCACTCACAACGTAGCAACACCACGACGGTTGGCTTGACAAACTTTATAAAATCGAGAGGGATGGTCTCGAAACGCGGGTGAGTCTTGTTCGAAGAACATGAGCACTGAAAGTCGCGAGGTGGAGCGAAGTGATCATGGTGCTAACTGAATCAGAAGTACCATCAAACCTGGCTAAAAGGAGCAGCTGTATGACCACCTCATTCAAAAAGAGACTAAAAGACTTAAAGCGACTCTTTAACTACATTAAGGAAAGATAATTCACAGATGCATGTGCACAGGTACGCAGTTAAATGGCTCAATTCACTCCGATTTGAAGAGTAACAAAAATTTTCAACAAAACAACAGCAAAAACAACAACGCAGCGGTGCGGGATTGGTGCGGGACACTCCCATAAAAAGTCACTGGCCGGCCGGCCGATCCAAATGGCCACGTTCGAAACGACACCAATTCTATTGTTGCATCTTGTCTACCTGCAGTCAAAGAAATTTTTCATTTCGAACGTGCTTTTTCAGCTTTTGGAGTAAGCTTACAGACCCAAAAAGTAGCTCCGCTATTGGTCCGGCTCGGCTCGGCTCCCCCCACTCTCTTTTTTTTCCTTTGACGAGTCGAGTTTTGCCATGGAAACGGCGATTTTGACAGCAAATTTCTCAAAATAGGCCGTTGACTTTTTAACCAGATTTCAGCATCAGAATCAGCGTTCAAAGTTCTACAAGTCTGCAAAATCTCATTAAAATCGTATAGAAAATTTCCGAAATGCATAAAGGGCCACACAAATCGAATCTCGGGCCGGCTGAATCCTGGGTATACTATAAGGCTACTTCGTGCCTAAAAACAGTGGCGGGAACACTCTGAGAAGAAATGACGGTAAATCCTGGATAATTTTTTTGCCAAACTTTACCGTACTTCAAAAACCAGTATCCACCGTACAGTCTACAGTATTTACCGTACTTGTTTTACAAAATATTCTGTAGTTTTTTAACAGAAGTTACCGTTCTTTCGTACAGTCCATGCCGTAGGAAGGACTAGATCTGGTCCCAACAAAGGCTGCTCCCAAGAATTGTCCACATCAGGATCTTGAAAAAAAGGGGGTCGACCGACTGAAAAATTTTATTGCACCTTTCGATAGGTCTCGTCAAGACCTTTTCAACGAGTGGTCGGAAGGGGGGTCCAGGAGTCCGACTTCAGCAGTTACGTACATCAGGATCTTGAAAAACGAGGGTCGACCGACTGAAAAAAATTATAGCAGTTTTCGATAGGTATTAAAAGTACGGGATTGCCGGGTAAAAAAGTACGGGATTCCCTGTATAAAAAGTACGGCGTTGCCTGTTAAATAAGTACGGTATTGCCTGTAAAAAAACGACGGTATTGCCTGTTAAAAAAAGTACGGTGAAGTCTGGAGTAATCAGTACAGGATTTACCGTGATCTTTTCTCGCAGTGAATACACCCAGTGACAGCGTCGATACCCCGTGCGAGCAGTGTGGCCCGCACTACGGGGCCCGGCTCCCCCTCCCCTCCCCTACCCCACCCCTACTGAGGCGGAGGCGGCACGATTCTTTGAACCGACTCGTGACAGATACTAAACTCAAAATATCCGACAACGAAAATCGGAGTTAATAAAGGGAGACACTCAAGATAGACACGGCGGAATGCACAGAAAGAGTAGCGTTGTCTCGAAAACGCGCCCAGACGCGGACAGGTAAAAACAAGGACAGCAGGCCAGGGCCGTCCACTGGCCAGTCAGCCTCAATTCAAAACACGAGAATTTAATACTACACTCGCAAGCAGCAAAGCATCGAGAGGGAAACGCGAAAAAATAATTAGAGAGAGACAGACATAATGACGGTCAAAACAAACCAACGCCGTCCCGACTCGCCGCGCTGCATCAGCAAAAACACGACACGCGACCACTCTGCGACGCACACACAGGGGTGATAACACTCACTTTAGCCCATTGAATAAAAAACTTGTGCTGATTCAGATCGAAAGTCTACCACAGACAAGGCGAGCCTAGCCAAGAGACAGAGCACGCCATGCGGCCCGGCGTGTCGGGACGGCGGCGTCGCACACTCACGTTCCCACGGTCACAGTTTTCACTTACCTCAATACTAAAAACATATGATTCCTCTTGATCTATCTCCAGCACGTCGTTATTGTCATCTTCTTCCCCCATATTCAGCTCGTCATCAACTTCTTCCGCCTCAATCTCATAATCCAATTCGTCTTCCATTATGACACGTGCACTCAGTAGACCGGACGGTTGAACAAGAACTGACTGGACCGGCTGGGGCGGAAGCAAGGGCTGCTACCACTTTTGGCCGGCGGAGGGCGCAACGGTCACTCTATCGGCCAGCATAATTAAAACAGCTTCCAATTTTGCGACGATAGTAAATAAATTGTAGGACGTCGAAATCTCTCAAATATTTTTTCTTGTCACTGACACAGTCTTGAAGCGATGACAACAGGTGTTATGCAAATTCAGAATACGAGGGAGGGGGAGAGGGGATGGGGGCTCTGGACCACTGTCTTCTCTCAGTTTTCCCATGGACAAGACATGACAGGGGGAGTATAGCCATTAATTCCAGAAAAATATTTCAGCCGGAGAAATGATATCAAACACGTGCCATCTTGAAGGGATAAAGAATGAAAGAGAGTTTCGGGTAGGTCGTGGACAAAGGGGGTGGGGGCGCGCCAGCAAAGCGTGGCGCGGCGTAGTGTCGCTCGGCTCGGCCCGGCGCTCGGCTCGGCGCTCGGCTCGGCTCGTCACCGGCGGCGTGGCGTGGCGTAGCACAGGGGGAAGGGTTCCTGTCCAGGCGGAACTCGCGCGGCGGCGGGTAAAATTCAAACCGGCCGAAACACGCTCGGACTTGCGCGCGGCCGCGCGGCGCTCCCAGGTAAACGTGCGTACCGTTCCCTCCTCCAGCGAGCGCGGCGCTGTAGCCTAGTGGGTTAGAGAGTGTTCTGCCGCGCCCCGAGCGCGGAGGCACGGGTTCGAGTCCCGCGGGGTGCCGGCGCCTTTTTCACCAACAAGTTTCAGTTTTTCCCGTGAGGGCGCGCTGGAGGCGGCGGCGCTGGGTATAAATCTAGGCGCCCCGACCGCAGTAGCATCATTCTTCGTTCAGTCGCTGACCAGTACACATCAGCACGATGACTTACACTATCTGCGGCATTCAGATGCTTCGGGGCAAGTACGGGGAGTATGTTCTCAAGGAGGTTTCGTCCTATGAACAGAACGAAGCGGCCCAGATCCACAAGGCGACCACCTTCGCTCCACCCTACCCCGGAGAAGAGATCCCCGAGAAGCAGCTGCGCCATAACAAGTACATTGTGAGGCGCTTGCATTCCCTTCCCTGGGAAACTGGCTTCTCGCCCTATGACAGGCTCCCTCAGACTCTGAGTGAGATGTCGGCGGAGTATGACTTCCTCTACGTGAAGGGGGATGAGAAGAAGAGAATTCTTCAATTCCTCTTACCCTCAAAGAAAATCTTTGATGTAGAGAAGTTCGGTTGTCCAAGCCTCAAAAAATTACCCAAGGCCTGGGCACCTTGCCATAATGATACCGTAGGCTCTCACAGCTCCAAAACTTGTGCTGCGCGCAATGCGAAGCGAGTGGGTTTGTGGATGCAGGTGTACCTCAACTCACCTAAATGATGGTGCACTGTAAAGAAAAAACTGAAAACACAAAAAAATCATAAAACGACAAAACTCCCTAAAAAATAAGCCAATGATATCCGTCTGATAAGGCGCTTCGGGAGACAGCAAGCAGGCCCGATGCGTCACCTGGGGACAGAGCGCAGTGGAGCGCGGCACGGTGCGCGGCGCGGCACGGAGCGCGGCGCGCTGCCTACCTCGCAGGCGCCCCGCCTCCTCCGTTAAGCGCACCTCACGCGCCTCACAGTCCTGATCGCCCCGAACACCCTACGGGGGGTTGAAGGGTAGGTTAGGCCCACCCCATAGCTAAGGTTAGGTTGGGTTAGAGCCATCATCTTCACTTCCAAAAAAAATCATGACAAAAATTTTTTAGCAGATGATACGTTCACGTATCAGCGTACCAGCCCCGCTTGGAGATGTGGCTGACACGCCGCGTGCCGCAAGGCGCCTTGCCCTAGTACCGAACACAACTTTTATGGGTATTGAGTAGTCATGTGATTAGCCACCAAATTGTGCATCCTCGCCTTGAAACAACGAAAATGATACCCAACACAAGTGGTATCAGACATATGAGTGTCCCACCGTCATTGCGAACATGGCACGTTAGGATATTCAAAAGTTATACTAAAATTGACATTTTCATGAATTACCATGCGTAAGAAATTTGTCAAAAAAAGGGTGCCGAGTGTTTACTCTTTGAAAGAAATTGACAAAATGTCACATTCATACATTTCAATAAACATCCCCATAAGTATCATCTGCTTTCACGTTAGCGTTAGCGTTAACGTTTTTTTTTCCAAAAATGACCCATTTTTGACCCTTCCAAAGGTTAGGTCAGGGCAGGTCACTTGGGGGAATCAAGATGGCGCCGGGTCACCACGGGGCATTTATACTACTGATGTGGTTGTGGAAGTTGCACTGGGGAGCTGCGCGCCTGATTCAGGTTTGTTGAAGCTGGCATTGATTTTGAGTAGAATTTAGGAAGTGGCCAAGCTTCTCTGATAGTCATTTCAATGAGATTTAAAAAAAAAATTTGGTATCATAGGGTCATCCACTTCCTCGGCTCTTATTCGGACAGAAGAAGTGACTAAATTGTTTGTACTCTAAGATTGTCTTGTCTCCCTGTTCTCTTTCATGAAAGTGAAAGCACATTTGGTATTTAGAGGCCAGAGTATCTTTTTGTTAAAGGGAGTGAAGACTTAATGGAAAAAAGTTGAGTTTTTGTTAGCCTTCAAAATTTTAAACCTCTACGTCAATGTTTATAGGAACTTAGAGCAATCAAAGTTTTCGTCCATTTCACCATTGGGGCTTTGGGTGGCTTTGGATCCAGGAAAAGTATTTTTTTAAACTATCTTCTTATTGATTATCACCTGTTGAAACGCATTTTTAACAAGGTGTCACAAAGCATTTTTTGTGGACAAAGTCTCATTTTCCAGGTTATGATCTATTCCCAGCTTGTCCCATAGAGAATTAGACCATGGAGTTGGGATTGAACTCCATGGTCCAAGCTACATAGTCCCAACTCCATGGTCAAAATCTCTATTCTGCAAGCTGTGACTAAAATAGAACCTGAAGAAAAAGACAACTTTGTCCCAAAAAAAAAGTCATGAGAAACCACGTTAAAAAATGCGTTTTCGATGAGACCAGACGAACCCCAAAGTATTTTGAGCATACGTAAACTTACACTGATGCATTCTTTCTCAAACCAAATCAACTTTCCAGGTCAATGTTGAGTTTTGGCCTACCAATTTTTTTATCAAGAGGCCCTCATTAGGAGAGACTCCCTGTAAAATATTTTTGCAATCGGACCAATAGTTTGGGAGAAAATGACAAAAAACCATTTTCACCTATTTTAGCGCAATTTAAGGTTGAAAAATTTCAAAGTGTCAAAATGCTGCTAAATTAAGGTCCCTTTTGCCCAATGCTTTTCTTATATGAAAGAGCATATTAAAAAGTAATTTTGAGCCACTTTGGAGTCAGCTGACTTTACGCGTTACCCCAATCGTGTAACATTATAGGAATTTTACGCAATTTTCATATCTCATATACTCCGACTCAGAACTGGACCGAATCAGGCCCAAAGCATCCTTATATAGCCCTAACTAATATCCCAAGTAGTCATCAAAAATATATTTCATTTGTGGATTCTGGAGCCAACTTTATAATGTGAAGTCTTTGTAACTCGATGAATTAACGGTTTTGGACTCAAATGCATATTTTCTCCATCCGAACAACTCAGATGGGGCGCAAAACAGATTCTTAACTTAAACTAACTTTCTCTCTTGTAAATGAGCCCAAATCAGCAGAAGGGAGGGGTCAAAATTGCCTCACAACAAAGTCAACTCTTTTCCGGCAACATTCCTAAAATGTTACTTGATTAGGGTAACGCTTAAAGTCAGGTGCTTCCAATGTGGCTTTGACATAGCAAAAGAAGCATCAAAAATCTGTCTTTAGACAAAAGCAATGAAATGACTACTAGAAGAAAACAAGGTAATTCATAGTAAGTGGTTCCCCCCTGAAAACATAATTTCCAGCCTAAGGTGAAGGGCCTGTCTCATTAGATAAACATTATTTTTTCTGGTGGTCATTTCATTGCTTTTGTCTAAAGACAGAGTTTTGATGCTTATAGTGCTATGTCAAAGCCACGTTGGAGGCACCTGACTTTAAGCGTTTCCCTAATCAAGTAACATTTTAGGAATGTTGCCAGAAAAGAGTCGACTTTGTTGTGAGGCAATTTTGACCCCTTCCTCCTGCTGGTTTGGGCTCATTTACAAGAGAGAAAGTTAGTTTAAGTTAAGAATCTGTTTTGCGCCCCATCTGAGTTGTTCGGATGGAGAAAATATGCATTTGAGTCCAAAACCGTTAATTCATCGAGTTACAAAGACTTCATATTATAAAGTTGGCTCCAGAATCCACAAATGAAATATATTTTTGATGACTACTTCGGATATTAGTTAGGGCTATACAAGGTAGGTTTACGCCAGACCGCATCTTGTCGTAACAGGCTTCGCGATATCTCGCTGCCTGTTCCTCCAATCCGCGGCTGGCGTACCTACCTTGGCCTGCGGCGCTAGCCTGCCTTCGGCAGGCAATGCTTGTCCACCGTCAATTACTTCTAATTTCTTGCATACTGGGGGGCTCCGCCCCCCAAACCCCCCTTTATTCTAGATAGAGTTGCTTCATCTACAAATTACACGATCTTGACCCTTGTAACTTTTTAACTTGTCGGGGCTGGGGTCACCGCCCCCCCAGACCCCCCTTCCATCAAGGCAGGCGAGATCTGCTTGCAGAAAACTCGATTTTTCGCCGTTTTTAGGGTGTTTTTCGGCTATAAAAACTGAACCAGTTGAGCTAGGATAATGAAATTTCGCGTGTGCCGAGCCAAGAACATATCTAATGAGCCTGCAAAATCTCAGCAAGATCGGCCGAGCCGTTCAGGAGGAGTAGTGCGCACAGACACACACACACACACGCAGACAGACAAAACTTTTCAACCCCTCTGGAGTAACGGGCTTCGCTATCGCTCAGCCAATAAGGATGCTTTGGGCCTGATTCGGTCCAGTTCTGAGTCGGAGTATTTGAGATATGAAAATTGCGTAAAATTCCTATAATGTTACACGATTGGGGTAACGCGTAAAGTCAGCTGACTCCAAAGTGGCTCAAAATTACTTTTTAATATGCTCTTTCATATAAGCATTGGGCAAAAGGGACCTTAATTTAGCAGCATTTTGACACTTTGAAATTTTTCAACCTTAAATTGCGCTAAAATAGGTGAAAATGGTTTTTTGTCATTTTCTCCCAAACTATTGGTCCGATTGCAAAAATATTTTACAGGGAGTCTCTCCTAATGAGGGCCTCTCGATAAAATAATTGGTAGGCCAAAACTCCACATTGACCCGGAAAGTTGATTTGGTTTGAGAAAGAATGCATCAGACGTAAATGGTCAAAATGCTTCGGTAGGAATATTTTATAGAGCGCAACGAATCAATAGGTTAAAAATGAACAACTTCAGCCTTCAGCCTTCAGAAATAGAGAAATAGCAAAAAAGGAGGCTGAAAGGGGCCGAATCGGCTGCTACTGGGCTGCCGCCGCCATCTTGCCCCGGAAGCGGCTCGTGGCGCGCGGTTCGAGCGTGGCGCTGGCAGCGGGACGGCGGCACATTCAAACAGTGAATTGAGTTATGCAAGTTATTTTCTCCCTTTTAGTTTGAGTACTCTCGATCAATTTTGAGGTTTGTCACAATTTCCTAAGAAAAAATACTGAGCAGAATTCTGAATGTTAAGATTTTCCCCTCTTTTATATTGCATGTTTCTTTTCTCTGATAGACTATTTTAGTTGTGTTCAGGTAGGAAGTGGTATTGAAAATGAAAGTCAAAGGGTAAGGTATGAAATTTAATTTGTAAATAGTAAAATCAGTCAAGAGGCACTAAATTTTAACACACAAATAACACAGCATAATATCATGACAAATCTATTTTGGAACACATTAGGCAACATTAACCACTATCATCATTTTTTTTTCAAAACATAATACAATATTTTCAAAAATTAAGAATAAATCAAGAATCACAAACATTTGGTCTCACTATAAGTAGGGCAAGTCAACTCCTGCTTTTTCCAACACTTGACGAACAGACGCTGCTATCTTAGCAATAATATCCTTGGTGCTTGTCACTCTTGGCTTCCCATAAATTTGTACCCCAAGGCAAGGACCAAATCCAGCAGTGCCCTTGGTCAGCATAACATCCTTCAACTCATCAAGAGTCACACCTGCGCCTGCCATTTTAGTGATCATATGTTTAGAAACGCCACCAGCTTCCAAAACACTGAGACCTTTGCCAAGGCGATTCTTATTTTTCAAGAACACTTGGTTCTTCATGAAGTCAACCATAGTGACAAGAGATTTTAACATGGTTTGCTGGGATACAGAAAAGTGGTGCATGAGGCCTTCAAGAAGGATGCAATCTGATACTGCATTGTGAGCATTTTTCTTGTGTTCAGTCCATTTCTCTTCAGTCAGGTACTTCGCTGCAAGAACCTGCAACTTGCACTTCCTCCCTTGACGAATGAGGGGCATTGTCTCAACAAGTCCATGCACCATTTCAGCAAACTCCATGGACTCACCAAACAACTTCATAAAACGGAGAATCCTGGGCGCATCATACCTCATAAGATTGTGACCCACAAGAATCACTTGCGGCCCACACTTCCTGAGGAACTCCAAGAATTCTGATGCCACTATGCGAGGAGGTTTGGTGGGCAACGCTACACTCTTGTGAACTAACTTCCCCTTGACCACTTTCAGGCCTGTGACAGCTGAGGCCTGGGGAGCAATTTTGCGGGATGGGACCATGTAAGCTGAATACTGTAGTGATCCACAAACTGCTGCAACCTGGATGATGTCGCAGTCAGCTTGGAACCCTGTTGTTTCTAGATCTAGGTAAACAAAGGCGCAGTCAGGGTGGAGCTCAGAGATTGGTGGAATCCAGGAAGTGATAAGATCTTCTGATGTAGCCGCTGAGGTGGCAGCCACAGCTCGCTCCATTACACTGCCCATTCCAGAGGCATAGGTGATGCCACCAGAGCTGAGCTCCCTCGCTTCTTGCCACCTATCCTGCAGTTTAAGCTGAAGTCTCCGCTTCTTCACATGAGGTAGTTGCTGGTACTCTCTCTTTAATTCGATGGATTTCTGGAGAGACTGCCTGTACTTGGTGACAGATGGTGATAACTGCGTAGAACTGAAAATTTCCTCAGTGTAGGTTGCACCAATATTTTTGGCACACACTGCAGAGGCCACCCTAGTCTTCAGTGCCTTTGTGCCACCATAAAATCTGGAAGCAGAACAAGAAATTAAAATAGTTGCAGGTCATTACCATAAAATACTGAGGCAAAACTTGTTACTCATTTTCCTCACCTGGACTTAGGGGCTCTAGTGGTTGACATGTGGTTGAAATTTTCATTTGCTTGCGTGGAGCCACAAGCAGCAAGCTGCGCACTCTCAGCAGCCTGTTCCCCAAGCAACTCTTCAAGGTGAACTCTGAACACTGGGTCAGACAGGGGCTTCATTTTGGGTAAGTTCTTGAAGGGGTAGTCCGGCTGGCCCTTTGCCTTACACCATTCACCGCAATCTTCATGCTCATCATAAACATGCCGAGCAACATTTAGAATGGCACTGCGGACACCCTCAACGTTGTTCTTGTTTTGTTTGATGCCGTTGTTGACACATCGTTTTAAATATTCAATGGTATCAGTAGTCAGCCAACTGAAAGATTTCTTCAACTCATACAATTGGTTGTTTATCCCCTTCGTGTTGTGGTTCAGGTCGACGAGGCGATTGATGGGGCGGTCACTCTCAGCATTAAGGGCAGCAAATGTAGAAGCATCCCTGTCAGCCACGATAGTAGAAACACGGACATTTGCTTCCTTAAAGTCAGGGTTGTTTAGGCACAGCTGTACTGCAGCTCGTGGTTCCATGGCCTTGGCAGAGCCATCATGATTCCGCACACAATCATGCTCATCTGGTGGGCTTCCCATGGCACACTTACGGCAATATGTGCTCATCACCATGTAGCCCAGGACCAAGTTGGACAAAAACACTGCCGCGACCTGTGTGACTGTCATATCTAAAGCCGGAAAAAAGACTCAAATTAGTGACCAGTAGAAAAAAAATGATATCGCTCAAACTAAAATTTTCACAAAAATTGTACCTGAATCCATTGCCGCGCTTGTCCCAGCCAAAGTCATACTTCACAGTGATGCCGACTTCTGGGTTTTGCTTCTTCCGTTGAGTTGGAGATGTTGGGTTGGAACGTGGTCTCTTCTTGGGTGTCAAGTCAGCTGGAGCAGGCGCTGTGTTGTCATGGAGTTCCTGGAGTGGCAATGGGTCATCCTCACTGGTGCTGTCGAAATCAATCTCTGACACACAACAGGTAGCATGACTGGCAACAAAGTCAGTTACGCTAGATTCTGATGCACGGACTCTGCAAAAAAAATTGAAAAGTGTTACACATCTATACTGTTTACTAGTTGACGACAACTTTCGCAAGGCACACACAAATCCACACAGTAGTAAACAATACTTGCTACTCGTATGATGATGAAGACAGATTGGTGTTTCTTCCCAAGTAGCACAAGAAAGGCACAACAGGTGTAAAATGTTTGCATACTATGTGCATAATTCCACTGTACTTAAAACAATATGAAAATAGTATGCAGGTTTTTTTTTCTCCTATTGTCTTTTCTGTGCTGCCTGGGTTACCAATAAGTGTTAAAAAATAGAATTTCTTTGTCATGATAAAATGTCAGATTAATCAAATAACTTGAAAGCACAATGCAAGTTTGAAGAAGTCAGACAGTTCTTGACCGCTTACTTCTCCAAAGCATTGCAAACATTCGGAACAAACAGCCCAAAAAAAGTAAGCTTTTAAAGCAATCGGAGATCGTGACTGACAAAGATACTATTTACAACACTTCATGGACTCAAAGCCTCGGTGTTGGTGATAGATCAGTGATAGTCCTGGAGCAAAAACAGGTAAAAATTAGACACACAATGCAGTTGAGACTGGCTTGCTTCAACAAGTCCAACAGTCAGTAACTTACCCTTGTTCCACCAAAAGTTCAAGGGCCAACCGATTCTCCAGATTGATGGCATTTTGACAGGATTTGTCAGCAGTCTTCACGACAAACTCCGAAATAACGTCGTGGGCACGCTGATAAGTATTACGATGAAGGACGGGAATGTTCAGAACAGAGAGGAACTTCTTCAGAACTTCTGGTCCAATTCCACAGTCGATGCAGGCTGCAACAGAAGTGAGGTTAAGACAAGGATTACCACGTGTAGCGACGTTTACTATACGAAATAATCGTCGTACTACGAATTCTAGTTGTTGACATACCTAGAGCAGCCTTGCAATTCGAGGCGTACAGACAATGGCCGCCGCTAGGGTTAGGAACTTTCTTGCTCGTGGGGACCTCGTACAAAAACAGGCACACGTCGCACCGAATTCGCCAAATTGAACACAAACCCAGCTGGGTCTCTTCTTCCAGAAACAGAATACTCAACGGACGGTTGCAAGGTTTGCACCACAAGCCACGTGCCACAGTATCGAGCTCAGTAATACGACGGCCGACGGCGACAAGCATGGTAGGCTCATCTTCCTTCATCAACATCTCCGCTGCTTTAGCGATTTGTCTCTTTTGTTTGTTAGAGGCAGTGATTGCAGCCAACTTTTCTACTCTTGCCTTAGACCCAGCCTTCGCAAAACGACCATTCTTCATACGAGGCATGGTGGCTTCACAGACAAAATCAAACAAAACGCTAGAACAACGTTGACACTGACAGGCACGTCCGCGCCCCTCTGGATGTAAACAGCGAAAGAAGGAGCTGTTTGGTATGGCCGCCGCTAGAGTTGTTTCCGGGTAGGCAGGATTGCCAACATTCCGATCGCAAAGAACGAACGACGCGGCGTTCTCTTTGCAGGTTTCGTGAACATTCGGGTTATAAAAACAAATGTAATTGCATTGTAAAACGACTTCGTCTGAAATAATAACTGTGTCAAGGCGCAAAAATAGTTTGCAGCAACGGATCAAGTTTTCGTCATTTCATCGCCGGGAATTGGCCCCAGGTCCAAAACTAGTCAAGTGCAGAACTAAACTGTATTTGTATTATTACAAAACATAATAATTGTCCCAAAAAAGGTGCTAATGAAGTAAATAGCGCAAAAAGAAACACATAGAATACTGCTCAGTATTTTTTTTACCATACGACTTGCTTAATTAATTTCTTTAAGGGGGGACATCACTCCAAAAACAGTGCTTTTGTAAAAACGCCATAAAAACGAAACGGAAAGAGAAAAATTGTTCATATTTTAACAGATAAAGTATAAAACAACACAAAATCAATCCGCCAGGGCAGTACAGCGCTTTCGTTGAAAATGCATTTTTGAGTGTTAGGTTAGACCATTTCGCACTGTTGCAGCGCTGGACGCCAAACGGTTTGACCTAGAACATTGAAATTTGGTGACAGCCTTCCTGAGATGTCTGGCTGTGGTGGGTACCTCAATCACATTTCAAAAATCATTTAAAGTTGTATTTGTAACATACCAAAAAAAATTGTAAAATTTTTTGGGTCAAAATTGTTCAATTTTAAACGTTAAAAAAATAATAAAAATTGACGAATGCAAATTATTTTGCTACCCACCATAGCGGCATGCCGTAGGAGCTTCCATGCTAAATTTCCCCACTGTAGCTCAAAAACTGCGCCCTAGAGGCCTGCAACCGTTTGCAATTTCATGTTCCGAGAAAAACGCGATCAAAGTTGGGGAAACTGGGCTTTTCCCCTACGCATGTTTGCGGTGCACAACCTCCTAGAACTGCAATTTTTTGAATTCCGGAATGCGGTTTTCGCCATTCGACGCAGAAAGGAATGGTCTATAATATAAACTAATAAAAAAAAGTTGTAATTTTTGATCATTTTGGAGTGATGTCCCCCCTTAAGAAGTCATGTGACACTCATTTGACTCGGCTCCAAATCAGACTAACTACTTTAAATGTCTTGGTTTGACTCGGGAAATGACATTCTACTGCAATGCTGCAAGCTAACATAAATATTCTAGTTCTAACATCTATTGACTAAAAGAATCCATACATAGATGTATTTAGTGCAATAAATAATCCATCTATTTAGTGCTAGCAAATTTTGAATTGATATTGGGTGCAATGAGACGATTCAGGTTATGAGCGTTAGGTGACTTGGTAATCTTATTTAATGAGACGATTCCTCCCACCAAGCGCGGATCCAGGGGGGGGGGGCAAAAGGACAATTGCCCCCCCCCCTGACCCCTAGATAGCCGCCTGAAAGGTAGGCAAAAAGCACCAATTTGCCCCTGTAAGTAGGCAAAAAGTGCTACTTTGCCTCCCCCTTGGGCTGACTCTGGATCCGCCACTGCCTCCCACTTCACCAAAATTTGTGTCCGACAACTGGAACTAAGTACTGGTAATGGTTTAAAAGCTGGCGCTCTGAGCGTAACCCCAATGCCAAATGTTAATACCATACTGTCATCTTTTACTCCAAAGATAAAATATTACGAGACATGAACAAGATAAATTATGTTGGCGTATTGAGCAGCAAGTGAGCTCTGCACTGCACTTCTTGAGACAATTCACTGAATTTGACAAAACTTGGTCTCCGTCGAATGCTTCAGATCAACCTGCCCTAAACTGAGTCACTTCATATAAACTATGATTAAGGGAGAGTGGGGTAATTCCGGACACGGGGTAATTCCGGACACTTCGATTTTCACTGGGTTTGAGTGAAGATAACGCAAAAGCCCGCCTAACAGAGGAAGATTATCAGTTAAAAATGATAATTTCAAATCGCCAAGGTAGGAGGTCAAACCGTTTGGCTGTGGTCGCTTCACGAAATTTGAGTACCATCAAAAATAGGCAAAAGCTGCATCGTTTCCTCGTATTTCCATGTATTTATCGTACCTTACCGTCGAGTTCAGTCCCATGACTTAAATTTTATCATATTATATGGTCATTGGACTTTACTTTGGCGTTTCGGGAGTGCTCGTATGGCTCGCCGTTTTCTTGCAATTGAACATCAAAGGTTTTCACTACCTGTGGGGTAAATCCGGACAAGTGGGGTTATTTACTTCAATTTCCCGCATAATGTTAAGGTAGTGGGTTCAAATTTGTGGACATGCATCCCCACCGTTCAGAAGGACAAAGAAAGAACGAAAAATAGCATTGCAGCTTTAAGAGCTTTACTCGAGACACTGTTGTCAATTTTGGGGTTTTGATAGAAACTATTCCTTATAATATGCTTTGAGTAATAATCAAACACTTCAGTTCGCAGCAAATGTCCTTGTTCGCCTTCTAAAAGCATGCCTCACATCAAAACAAGCGAAAGTAAGCTCGAGTAGTGTCAAATTCTAAGGTCGTCCGGAATTGCCCCATAGGTCGTCCGGAATTACCCCAGGCTGGGGCAATTCCGGACACGTGCAGGGCTTTTGTTAGGCGCCTATATCTCTCTAACCGTTGCTGAGATTTGGCTTTCATGTATATCATTTTGAAGGGAAAGGTCCATACTTTATTCTCCTGTGATAACATTTGACCCAAGAAGCATATTCAAGCTCAAAGACCAAAAAGAAAAAAAGCGTCCGGAATTACCCCACTCTCCCTTACATATCCCAGTCTATATTATTTAATTCACTTGTTCGAAATGAAAGAATGACAAAAGGCTTCTCAAATATAACTAATAAATTTGTGAATTCATTAGTTTGAAGAAAAAGATATATCGAATAGTGACTCAAGCAGATAAGAAGTCAATTAAGCGATTCAATGCTGGCAATGGAATGTTACTCGACTGAAGGAATCGCATTGGTGTGGCATAAGGGAATTGGTGACGACAAAGGATGATCCATGAAGACCAACCCAGACGCGTACATTACCCATAATTAACCAATTTTATATCAATACGTTTCAATTTAATCTACTGATTCTTGCAGTTTTTGGGGGTGCTGATCATGAAAACCACTTCCATTTCTACCCCAGACTTGTA